CATTTTCAACAAGGTGAAGAAAAAAGCTACCAGTGGGATGCATGCTGCATGGCTAACATGAAAAGGTGGAAGCAGGAAGAAAATGACAAGCAGGAAGAAAAAGGTGATGATGTCCTTCAGGAAAGTGCTGCTCATGAGAAGTCATCTGTGTTATCTTCTAAAATTTGCAATCGTACCCTGAAATATATACATATAGATAGATATAGATATAGATATAGATATAGATATAGATATAGATATAGATTTTTTTTTTTAGGTGGAGTTTCACTCTTGTTGCCCAGGCTGGAGTGCAATGGCACGATCTCGGCTCACCGCAACCTCCACCTCCCAGCTTCAAGAAATTCTCCTGCCTCAGCCTCCGTAGTAGCTGGGATTATAGGCATGTGCCACCAGGCCCAGCTAATTTTGTGTTTTTAGTAGAGACGGGGTTTCTCCATGTTGGTCAGGCTGGTCTCGAACTCCCAACCTCAGGTGATCCACCCGTCTCGGCCTCCCAAAGTGCTGGGATTACAGGCATGAGCCACTGCGCCCGGCGAAATATATTTTTTACAATTCCTCTCAGAGAAAGCTTCTTCTTTTTGTTCAAATAGATAGTATTACTTTGTGTGACTAATAATCATGTTTCTGAAACAGTGTTGGTTGCTATGGTAACTTTACTGTGTGTGATTAAAAGAGCATGTATCATCTCAACGGGTTGTTCCACGACTTCCAGCGGCAATAGGAGCTTTCTCGGTGTACTGCAGGCTTTGCTGACAGACTGTTTATTGGCAGTGTTTTGCTTTGTGTTGTCCCCCTGCAGCATTCTTCTGTAGGATTGCTAAGAACAGTCTGGGTCACCTGAGATGCTTTTCCTAAGTCCCCTGGAAGGTTACAGAAGAAAGAGAAAAGATGGAGCCAACATTGGAGCAGTAACAGTGGTGATAATCACACCAAGGTGTAACAGGAGCACTTGGGATGGAGGTGGATGGAAAAGCGGGTTTTCTGTGGGTAGCCTGGAGTGGTGGCAGGGAGGTCTCAGAAGCAACCTGGAAAGGACAGCTCCTGGCCAGAAAGGTACACAGTGCCACCCACTGCAGAGCTCTGATGTGAAAACCTGGAGATCTGACTTCTTAGCCTAGTTCAAATCTTGCCTCGCCCTAGAACCTTGGACAAGGTCCCTAATGTCTTCGAGCCTTATGTTCTTCTAAAATCTGAGGATCATTTCCAATATCCTTTCCTAATCATCTGTGATGGTAGAATCCTGAGTTAAACCAGGGCTTCTGAAAGTATGGCCTAAAGGCTGTCTGAAGAATTAAAATCCCCAAACCCTGCCTCAGACCTTATAAGTGAGAAGTTCTGGGTCGGAGGCACCTCAATCTGCACTTTTTCCAAATGCTTCAGGTGATTATTGTACGAAATAAATGTAAGCACATAGAGTGCGCCCATGAAGGCAGATTTCCAAGAAGGGTCTGAATGTCAGGTTCCTTGCAATATGCACCAAGATGGGTTAACTTCCTCCAAGAAAATTGCTTAGAAGAGAAATAGCTACCTCTTCTGCAGGTCTCATTAGCTTCCAGTGACATAGCATCAATCCCAGATGCACCTGGGAGTGAGAACAGGAGATTGTGTTACAATTGGAACAGTGGTCGCAGTCTCAGGTTGTTCTTGCACAGAAACTTCTGAAGAGGGGTCTCTAGTACACTTTTCTTTTGGGGGACGGCGGGGACGGAGCCTCACTCTGTCACCCAGGCTGGAGTGCAGTGGTGTGATCTTTCTCACTGCAACCTCTGCCTCCCGGTTCAAGCGATTCTCCTGCCTCAGCCTCCCAAGTAGCTGGGACTACAGGCACCCGCCACCGTATCTGGTTAATTTTTGTATTTTTAGTAGAGACAGGGTTTCACCATGTTGGCCAGGCTGGTCTTGAACTCCTGTCCTCAAGTGATTTGCCCACCTCAGCTCCTAAAGTGCTGGGATTACAGGTGTGAGCCACTGTACCCAGTCTCCAGTACACTTTTTATTCACACTGCATTAGAAGCATAAGCTTTCCTGCTGATAGCGTTGTCAGATAAAATACAGGGCAGACTGTTTACTTGTTTTTGTGGGGTTTTTTGGTTGAATCTGGCAAACTTACTTCAAGCCCCTATCCCAGCATGTAGCCAAGGAAACATGAAAGAGGAAAGAATAAACTTTTCCTCCCTTTTTACCAATAGGGCATGTCATGTTTCTGGACTGAACAGAAAAAATTGACCTGAGATGAGAAAAAAAATATATATATATGAAATAAAACAAAGTCTCTACAGAGCCTGAGTCATGGCTCTAACCAGGTGCAAACAACAAGTGAGGCAATGGGAATAACTTTCCAGAGAAAGCCATGTTCTCCTTTGCTTTGAGACCTCCCAAAACAATAACTGAATTTATAAAGTCTTGAACTTCTCAACTGGCTTTGCTCCAGTTAACAACACAGGAACATCAACATTTCACAAGCTCAGTCCCAACTACGTTGAACAAACTCTCTATTAACTGTGGATGTGGAAGAAGGCTCAGACTGGGTATAAAAATATAGTCAATTTTGGCAACAACCAACAATTCAAAAGAGAAAAAGAATAAAAATAAGAATTCACCAAAGAAAGAAAAAGATTGGAAGTAAGACTGGATTAAGACAAAAGTAGAATGAATGAGACACAGTAGGCAGCTGTAGCTCACAGTCCAGAGTCTTTAAGGTTTAAGACAAAAGATGAGTAGACCTGCACAAAGTTCTGCTGATCAAATGGGATAGAGATTAAGCTGGGACTGCCTAAGAAAACACTGATGGGTTCTGTATGGAAAACGGTCCTGGAGGTCTTAGTTCTCCAACTCATCAATCCATTTATTTGAGCATCTACTGTGTGCCTAAAGCTGTGATTATCCCTGTCTTGGAGAAGTTCCTGATCTAACTAGGCAGAAAAGACATACATGCTTGAAATTATTAGAGATGAAATCAAGTATAGTTATGAAACAAAAGGGGAGAAATCCACATGAGCTTAAAATGTCAGCAAATCTGATGGTGGAGGCAAAATTTGGGATTAGTCTTGATGGGTATGAGAATGAAGGATTATAATATTTGGAGGTGAGAAATGAGGAAATGGGAAGCAGCAGGAATGCAAGTACCATGCTGAAGAAAGACATGAGCAGAGGCATCTGCTAGGAGCCATGTGGCAGGAGGAGCTGACTCTGTAGCCCCTGGGCACTCTATCCGGCTCCCTTGTCATCCACATTCCTGCCAGGGACAAGTGGTTCCAAGGAGGAGGGTTGCAGTGCCCAGGCTTCCCCTGCATGGTAGGCCGAGCCCCTTTTAAGTTCATGGATTATTTGGGCTTGGAGCTGCTCCAGGAGGACCCTGATCCCAGAAATGGAGATGGTGATGAAGGTTGGAATCCCACGTGATGGTTGGTCCTCTGATTTGGGGACAGTTCACCTCTCGAGTACTGCAGACATAGGATCTTCTCTCATAAATGACATGGGGATTAGAAGAGGCTTTCATTTGGTGCCCAGATGCACTCCCTTACCCTCATATTTGTTTTCTCCCCTTTCAGCAGGAGAAAGTCTTTCAGCAGGTCATAGTCTTTCTTGTACAATTCTTCTGCCATAGGGGAAGCTTTTTTGAGCTAAAGGGTATTTTATTTTTATAAGATTGAGACTGAACGAAGGGGGCAAGGCTTACCTCAGTTAACAACAAATGGTAGAATTTTAGGCAATAGCAGAGGAAATATTAAGCTTAAATAAAGTAGTCCATTATCTAAGGGTGTGTGAAAGGTACCTGGAGGGCATGACTTGTGTAAGGCACTCTCTGTCACTTAGATCTGCCTATCAACTATGAAAAAGGGTAATCTCTCTAAAGATGTTTAGAGGAGTAGAAATGATATACTATCCACTGAGGCTCCTGATTGGTGTTTTTCTTCATGGCTACCATCCAAAGGCCTAGAGAGCAAGAAGCACAGTCTTCCACAGAAAAGGAGCTCATTCTAGGTAATAATCATTACCTTACTTTGAAAGACCTATTCATTTTTATTTAACAACCCCTTATGAAATGCTTACCATGTGCTGTCTTGTGTGTTCGTTAGTACTTGCTGGGGAAAGAAAGAGAGAGAGAGAAAGAGAGCAAGAGCAAGCAAGAGAATGAGCAAGGGAGAGAGACAGAGGAAGAGACACAGAGTTGCCTAAGCAGTGATTCTCAAAACTTGATGGGTATAAGAAGCACTGGGAAGATTTTTGGAAATACAAACTCCTGGCCCCACCACTCAAAGATTCTGATTCAACACATCTGGGAATAAGTGTGAATTGGTGTTTTTAGTAAGTGACCCAGTGGATTCGGTTACAGGTGGTCCCTGACCACATTGAGAATCATTGCAAAAGACAATAACAGGATATGGAGGTCAAAAATAGGAAACCTTAAGTGGAAACCAAACGTGCTGAGACTATACATTGGTTAAGCAAGAATCACAGAGGGCTTAGTGTGCCAGGCCCAGGTGTGCCAGCTGACAGCAACATAGGACCACAGGTGTGTGTTTTCCCCACATTTGCAAAATAGTTCATTTGGAAGCCACAAGGAAAAGTTCTATTTGTCAGGAAGGCAGATCAAAATGGCTGCCGGGGACTTGGTTGCCAACATTGGAGTTGCCATGACAACTGTAATGCCTGTGAGAGTTGAGCTGAGAAAGCAAGGGGTAAGAAAGAGGAGGTGAAGAATCTGTGTTAAACAGCATGCTGATTGATTTATAAAGGACTGCTACGTCTGTGTTAACCCACATTATATCCCAAATAGTGGTGAAGAAATCAAAAGGAAAGAGGATGGATACCTTTCAAGAATTACTTGCAGGTAGTGGGCTGGTGCAAAGCTGACTCATGAAGCATTATTTGTCCTTCTGTGATTTTTCAATTTGTTTTCAGTATTTCACATATTGGAGACTCCACCAACTACTGAATGAATGAATCAAAAATTTAAACACAATACTCAAATGCAAGTATGATAAAGACAGCTCCGGAAAATGACCACCACAGATTTTTATTTAATTAAAAATATTATACATGTTGTTGCATTTTCATGGAAAATATTGAGTTAAAAACACCAGCAGTGTTAATTTTTAGAAACCTTCATGTACCCCATTTTGCCACCTGCTGCCTTCTTTTGTCCATGGCATTAACCACATATTTGTAAGAATTGGACCCATCGAACTGGAGCTTCTTAGAAGGTCATACCTATGGGTTTCCTGGAGTAAGCCATTGTCTTCAAGACAGTGTTCTGTCAAGTCAACTCAGATACCACCAGCTGTGGCTTCCTTGCAAACTATTAAAAAGAACTGGTGTAAAAGCCCCAAAGCACATGTCAACCCCAACTCAGCACAATTCCGCACAATCAAGCACTGCTATGACCTTATCCAGTTTCCAAGCCAGTTAGCAAATGACCTTGTGTTCTACCTGGTGTATTAGTGTCCTGAGCTCATCCACAAAACTTCCCTGGGACCCATGGTGGAAAGACACTGCTATATAGTGTTTATATTCAAACCATAAACAAATACACAAAAACATATGTGGCTCCTTGCACAATACTATCAAATTAAAATATATATATGCAATACAACCTTTAGCATCACTGGCTAAAACATAGCCATGTGAGTATTTTTGAAGCCTTGATGTAATTATACATTTGTTTCAGAAATAAAAGGCATAAAATTTAACTTGAAAAGATCATTTCGGCTATAAACGTCTCATACATAAATATAAGATGTGTACAATATAGTCCTTTCTCTCTCTCCCTGCCTTTTCTTTCTTTGGACTGTGCCATTCCTTAATTCCTTGACCCACATCATAATGCTGCATCCCCATATTATTCCCAAGTGATGCTTTCACTAAAAATGGAGCTGATGTGACAGGAACATCCCAGCTCTGTCTTTCTGCTCCTTTGCTTTAAATTGTAGTACACGTAATTTGGGTTCTGCATCCAACTTTATATTAAAGAGAGATGAATTCCCCCCAAATGCACAAACAAATAAAAATAGCTGGATAGCAAAAAAGTTAGAATTGCCTCAGCTCTTGGAAATTGAAATATGGACTCTCTTCTTCATAATGGTTTCTCAATTGATGGGAATAAAATAAGGCTGAAATTGCTTTTCACATTCTGGCTCTGTTGGGGGCATTTTCACATAGACCCCTGTTGTGAGAGGGCTTCTTTTCTTTAGCTGTCAAACACAAAAAGAAACAGTAATTACTACTGAGGAATACAGAAGCCACTTCTAACCATAATAGAACTCAACACATATTGGGTCTCTACCCGGTTAAAAATGAATGTTCACAGCATACAGAATTATAAACCTCAGGAGATTTTCTTGATTCAACTATTAAAATTTATTTTAGATAAATAACTGTGATTTTGATGTTAAATGGCAATCATTTGCCTTGAATGGAAGATAGGAGAAAGAGACTTTGAGAAAGCTTCACAAAGAACACCCAGAAAGCCCATGATAATTGATCGATCTTGTCTGCAAGGGAACAAGCTTGATAAGGTAATAAGCTTTAGTTATCCTGTTTGAGAGCTGTATTTCTCATCTCCACTGCTGAACCTACAGCAAAGGACATCTCTGTCAGGTTGGGTGGAGGATGTTGGAATAGAGTGTATCTTTGTGTATGTGTATACGAGACAGAGAGTGAGAAAGAGAGAGAGAGAGAGAAAGGGAGAGAAGACGGCAGAGGAAGAGAAGAAGGGAGGGAGGGAGAAGGGTGAGTTTGTAATGGCAAAGCCAGCCTTAGGCAGAGGTGTCTGAGAGGGACTGTCAAAAAGAAATCCTGACAGGAGGCCTGATTCCATACTTCTACCTCTTCTACCACTAACACCTGTAATAAATAAAAACTGGGACTTTCGTTTCCCAGTAAAGCAAACCGGATAATAGGGATAGGTATTATGTGAGCAGCTACAGCTTGGACAAGGAAGGTACCAGAGTGGCACAAAGAGGTGAATTCCAGGTGATGAAGAGGGCCATGGAGAAGGCGAATAAAGACCATCCAGATGGTCCTTTCTAGCAGCATTCTGCCTAGCCTAATCTCATGTTTTCAGGGCTGTTAGCTTAAGTACAACTGTCATGAAGACAAAGAGCAAAACAGCTGCCCCATGTTATTGCAACGGTTACTCAAATTGAAACCCTGCTCAGAAGCACACGAACATTCAATATCAAACAAATTCATCTAAAATATTAGTCATTCTGAAACCTCAAATGCCAATGCATACGGTTCTAGTGTGTTCTTTACCACTGTCCTTCTTTCTCTTCATTTATTGCCTCATCTCAAGAACACTAAACTCAACACCATCTTTTGGTCAGTAGATACCACTAAAGGTATCCCCATCAGACATGGTGCACCATCAGCACCACACTCACCATTTTGCTCAAAGAAACAGCTGTGAGGAGAAAGCTATAAAAAAACAACCCCGAACTAACTGCTGCAAGGATCCAGAGGAGGAAGTCAGAATCTGGGCACGGTTCTGGATCTGCAACAGAAAACAAAGCAGAGCCTCCCTGAGACAGTTTTAAACTCTAGGGCTCTACTCTCCAACATTGGTGGAAAAAGGACATTAGAGCTTCCAGGCCTTGAGGTCCACCCCTAAATTGCATGGGTATCCCACCAATAGTTTTGGCTATTGGGACTACTTCCCCAGGAACATCATATCGTATCAAAAGCATGGGTCAAGCGTCATGATGATTAGCACTCCAGAGCAAGTGCCCCAACTTCCCCCAATAATTTTATTTTATAGTCAGAATGCTATTAAGGTTGCTACCTATCATAAGCAAGGCTACCATGTGGTAGAGAACTCTTAAAGAGAATTTCCACAGTCCTAAAAATAAACAACCTGAAATTAAGGAACAAAACTGTTTTTACGCATAGAAGACCACAATGCAACAGGTGTCAACTCAGTGAAATGGCTTTGCTCACCAATTACATAAATCTGGGTTCCATTGCCTATGCCCATGTAGTATGGTGGTGGGTACATGAGCTCCACCTTGCAGATGTAGAGTCCTGTGTCCATAGCCCTCAGTCCTTGGATAGTGAGGTTCACTTGATTTCCACTGGAGGTGCCCGTGCAGATGGAATCATCTAGGAAGGTCAACTCATTCCCCATCATGTATGTTGCCGCACAGACTTCAGTCACCTGGCTGTCGGCCTGCCGAAGCACTGTCACCCGGACCTCAGTGGCTTTGCCTGGAGATGCATACTCACACACAAAGCTGGCGATCCCTCGGCTGTTGGCCAGCACCACAGCAGGCTGGGCCACGTGCATTGCTATCATGGAAAAGTCAAAGGGAACTCAGTGAACTCATGCTCCTTCATGACCAAGCCCAGGCAAGCCCTTCTGCCTTCTAGCTTCATCCCCATGGCCTTCTCTCCCCCATCAACAAATCCATCACTTACCCCTTCCCCTCTCCACACCCCCAGCCTCCCCTCCATCTCTCAACTGTTTTCCAGCTACTCTCCATATAGATGTTTTCTTACTGAGAAATAGATTCTTCAAGATGGTTGTGGCAGGAAGAACACCGATATGACAAACAGAAGACCTGGCTCTCCCATGAAATATGTGATTTGGAGCAAGTCACACTTCCCCCATGTCCTTCATTTTTCTCATGTATAGTAAGAGAGAATTAGATGAGATGATATCTTCTCTGGTATTCTAAGGTTACGGTAGAACAATAGGAGCTATATAGTTCCGGAACTATAATGAGTGGTAGGGGAAATTCTGAAGGTTGAGGTACAGAATCTTGCTTTATCTCTCAAAGCCTATGTCAAAAACCTCTGCCTACTTATTGAGCTGGCCCTGAACCTCTGTCACCAAGCAGTAGCTGTGTCTTGATGCACTGTACCAGCCTCCGCCTTCGCTGGCATTTTTGTAGAGTGGAAGATGTTGTTAGATGAAGGAAGCCACAGAGCCGAGGGCACCGGGTCGTTTCCTCTCTAGGTTGAGGCAACCCTCCTGTTAACTCCTGTGGGCTTCCCCTGACACCACACCGCCTCTCTGCCCTTTCTTTCTCCTTGTCTTGAACACTCCCGTGCTCCTTTGTTTTCTCTTTCCCCACAGGATAAAGGAGATAAAGCTCTCCATACAGAGAGGCTTGCGTCAACTCAAAAATAGTGGCTGCATGCCAAATTACCTTCCTGTAACTAACCTGGCCCCTCTCCAGTCAGTCTGACAAGTGAAACCCAAAACTTGTGTTGCATGATGTCACTCATCTGCTCAATCCCTTTGACGCTTTACTAACACCGATTGCAAAAACAAATAAAATACATAACATTCAATGAGTTCCCCATGATCCAATTCCAATCTATCACTCCAGTCTGAATTTCTAGGACACACTTTCCTGCTTATAAATCACCCTATATTAGAGACACTAGTCCCTTCCGCCAAGCCACCTGTACTGGACATCTGTCCTCAGAAGAGAAAACAGTTTGGCAGCAGCCACGGTCATGTCTATTCCAGCAGCCCTAGCTAGCTAGACTATAGTTTCCTTCCCTAACCCTCGCCTCTGCCTATCAGAGATGCCCTCTGAGCATCCTTAGCACTGTGATAACTCCATTGCAGCACTTCATTACATTCTGCCCTGTATTAAAGTTATTCGTGAGTTAATCACATCTCTCCACTTTTTTACTTGTGGTTCATGAACTCCTGTGAGCAGTGATTATATGCCGCCCAAGTGAGCACTCAATAATCTTTATTGTATTGACTCTAAGCTTAAGAAATCCTAAATGTCCTGCCCTCTCCCCAGGCAAGCTCCCACTTATCACCACTAAATGTGGTCACACTCAACTTTCCAGTATCTGTCATGGGACAGTCCTGCCTGGTTACTAGTTGAGATAAATTTACTTTAGGAAATTTAAATACTTCTAAGAGCATTTATTTAATCTTTACATATTTAAAACATGTAAAAATAAGAAAATATATGTGAATATTTCTTCTCCAGTAAAAATTAAACCATCAAATAACTTTTGAGCACCTACTTCATACAAACTACATGGTTTCTTAACCAAGAAGGTCTAGAGAGAGATAAGGTTGAGATTCAATGGAAATACTCATCATTTTAAGCCGTGTAACAAACCTAGTGTCAGCCTCTGAAGAGATGAAAACTGAGGATCTGCATCTGAAACCCACATGTAGATCAGGCAACAATTAAGTATTGTATGCCAAACAGACTGGTGGCTTGCTTTCTTTCCTTTTTCGTGTGTGTGTGTGTGTGTGTGTGTGTGTGTGTGTTTTGCAATTTCAAGCTTTTATTTTTATATAATTGGCTAATTAGCTTGTAGAATTGATTAAGAGAACCTTAAAACCTTGAATTAAGTAAAGAAGGCATTCTTCCCATGATTTCCCTACATTTTAAACAGGCTGGCTAATTCGTTTATAAAGCATATGAATCCGAGGACCTTAAAACCTTGAATTGTGTGGCAAAGAAACTCTTCCCAGGATTTGCTTAAATCAATTAAAAAAAAAAAAAAAAGGAACTTGTGAGCTCATCCTGAAACCCAGCTCAAATGTATTCAGGACTATGGATATCCTTTCCCTCTTAAATTACTTCCAGTCTCATAGAAGGGTCTGAAATTGCCTGTGACTCTCTCCTAAACCAACTCACATGCATTCATGAAGCCCCTACTAAATACCTGGCACTCTGTTCTGAGGTATCTCTTTGCTTATTTGCTGCCGCCCAACTGTTCCCTGCTGACCCTGGAATACAGAGCCAGCCAAGCCAGACTGGAGTTTTACCTTTAACTTCTGGCTTTGCTATAAATCACTGCCCTTGACTGCTGAAAGAAATGAAACCCAGGTGGGAGAAACACCTCCTCCATCTTCATGCTCCAAAAGTCTCACTCACCTTTGGAGAAGACAGGGATGAAGAGAAGAGAAAACAGGAGAGTGTAGGGCCGGGTCCTGGTAGCCAGGTTGAGCCGAGCCTTGTGCCGCTGAAATCCAAGGCAAGCCATGGCTTTATGGGAGCGGTGTTCAGGTCTTCAGGAAGTAGAGCGAAACCTTTCAGGATCCTGAAGCTTTGAAATGTGTTTGAACCCACACAGAATCAAGGACTTTATATAGATAGCTTTGATCCCAGGTATGTATTACACATGTGCACACACAGAAGGCACTTGAATAGAAAGCCTTTTTGTTTTGGTTTTACGAGAAAGGAAGCCGTGGGTTTAGCTGTTACGTCGAAAAGACAACCTCAAGCACTAAACTGAACAAAACAAGCCAATCCATGGATGGAAAATGTATTCAATTTGAAACTGAAGCTTCATGTTCACTTTGAGGATCTGGATAACTAAGTGGAGATTTGGAGAATTTCCTGGAGTACAAGGGTCCTCCTAATTTTATTCAATCTCTTGGGCATCCTTAACCATCCAATCCAATTCATTTCATTGACATCTCCAAACCTGCTAGGCTGCTAACTTTCTGATCCCTTGGGCTAATTTGTCTGTAGGCATCATTCATAAAAAACTGTACTCTATCTGTGAAGCACCATCCTTCTAATCGTCCCTTGACATGCTTTACAAATAAGTTTATTTCTCCTAATTCCATTTAGCATTTGGTTAAGAGAAAATACCAAAATCACAAGAAATAAACTGAAAACAGGCAGAAAAAAAGCTGCCTCTGGTTTTGCAGAAGGAAAGAATTCAGATGTTCTTAAAAGCCTTAACTCAACAGAGACAAAACAGAGTTAAAGAAGGTCCAAAGAAAAGCCAATCCACACGATTCGAGAGATTAGAGCCTTCCATAAAAGGATAGACTTTTTTTTTTCTAATACAAGTTTTTCAAGCAGAAAATTCAAAAGTGAAGGTTAAATATAACCAGAGTCCTTAAACTTGTGACAGCTGTAGAGAGGACCAATGATCTAACAAAAAGAATTTGAAACACTGAGGACCTTCCTTAAATCTGGAGAATTTTCATACATTTTAATAAAGAAAGAAACATTTATATAGGGAGCCTGTAATATGCCAGGAGTTGTGTGCACTTAGGATTGAATGATGACAAAACAAAAACATAGTTGATACCTTAAGGGGCTTCTAGAAGGCTGACGTGCAAACAGACAGTTGCAACAGGGAATATGGCATTTGCCTACTCCAGTCTGTCCATGGTTTCCCATTGTCCACACCTCAGTACAGCAGAGGAGGCTCTGCAGAATACTCACCACATGCTTCCCTCTTTGACCTGTCCCCCAGCATTCCCTCCCATTCCCCTTTCCTGCATTTGTCTTTCCTTCCACATGCCTCTTTCAGGCCTCATCACTTTTACCCATGCTGTTCCTACTGCCTTTTTTCTCCTATTATCTTATTTTATACTCCTTCTCATCTTCCAGGACTTAGCTCAGCTGTCACCTCCTCCAGGAAGCCCCTTCTGACCTGCCTGTTTTCTATACTCCACTACACCTTATAGAAATCTTCAAGCCACAGCTCAAATATCAACTAGCAATAGCAACCTAATGGGCTCTTACTAATGCCAGACTGGGCACTGGAGGTTTTCTAAAAAGTGAAAAACAAATGTTCCTGCCCTCAAGAGGAACACACAGCAGTGGCAAGGACAGATAGCTAAACCCATGATCATGATAGAGTGAGATCAATGCTGGAATTGAAGTATTACGTAGAGGAGCAGAAGCCAGTGGTTCAGCCTGTGGAAGTCAGAAAGGGCTTCTCAGAGGAAGAAAAGCCTGAACTTATTATTGAGAACAGGGAAAAGGGTGGATATTCAGACAAGAAGAACAGCATGGGCTAAAGTTGGAAATGGTATGAAGAGCTCATTATGGTCAGAGGAGCTTGTCTGGGGATGAGCAGAAGGTGCAAGCTGATCCTCTTAGCAGCAAGGACCAATGAAACATATGGAGCAAATTGGTATGACTGAGTTCACATTTGGGGGAAATTTTAGGGATGGGGAGGATGGGTTCAGGGAGAAATGTAACCAGGAAAACTGGGAAGAAGACTATTGGAATACGCCAGGCAGCAGGATTTGGAAAGCTTTCTGTAGGGGACAAAATAGTAAATATATTATGATTTGCCGACCATATGGTCTCTGTTGCCACTACTCAACTATGTCATTTTAGAATGAAAGAAGCCATATATTACATGTAAACAAATGGTGTGTGTACATTCCAATAAAACTTTATTTACAAAAATAGGTAAAGTCTGGATTTGGCCTGTGGGCCATGGTTTGCCAACCCCTGGTCTAAACTAAGGTAATGACAGCTGTGAAGACAAGGTCCCTACGGGATTAGTCCACAATCAGTGAGTGCAGGGAGAAGTTTAGAATGAATGACACCAAAATTATAGTTTGAGAAGTACTGTGGTGCTGCAGAAATTGTTCAAATGTCAAGTTTTCTTTCTTTCTTTTTTTTGGGGGACAGAGTTTCACTCTTGTTGCCCAGGCTGGAGTGCAATGGCGCAATCTTGGCTCACTGCAAGGTCTGCCTCCTGGGTTCAAGCGATTCTCCTGCCTCAGCCTCCCAAGTAGCTGGGATTACAGGCACCCGCCACCACGCCCAGCTAATTTTTTGTATTATTTTAGTAGAGACAGGGTTTTACCATGTTGACCAGGCTAGTCTCGAATTCCTGACCTCAGGTGATCTACCCGCCTCGGCCTCCCAAAGTGCTGGGATTACAGGCGTGAGCCACCGCACCCAGCAAGTTTTGTTTCTTTCAAGTCTCATAACAACCCTACAAGACAAGAGTTATCATTTTTCCCATTTCATAAAGAAGGAAACCAAGGCATTGAAAGTTAAGGTGACTTATCCAATCACCCGTAGGAAGTGGCAGAGACAGGATTTGAAGCCAGTGATACTCTTTATCACTATGCTAAAGCAAAGATTTTGAAGTCCAAGATAACTGGATTTGCCTCCTAGCATGAGGACTTGCTTACTGTTTACCTGGGGCTCAAAGCCCAATGTCCTCCAGATAATGGCATCTTCTTCTCAAGATTATTGAAAGGATTAAATGAGATAATGCATGTAGCATGTATAAAAGGCCTATTGTAACAGAATGCCACTCAATAAATAGTCCTTTCTAATTATATAGGGTCACTGAGAAGACAGAGGTGCAATTTACTGGAATAAATAACAGGAAGAGCAGGTAAGAAAGTGAAATGACAGCTTTCATTTGGGTATGTTGAGTTTATGGCATCCATGGAAAGCAGTTGCCAATAGGATTCTGGAGCACAGGAAGAGACATTAGTTTAGGCAACCATGAAGCCACTGATGTAAATGTCACAGGCCAAGTCACAAAAGGAGCATTCTCTAAACATTTGTTAAATGAGTGGTAAATGAATGAAAGCAGTTTAACATAAGAAGAGATGAGGGTTGTAATTAGAACCTTCAAAGACGTCTTACTAGATACCTTAATTATGCTTTTATGAAACTAATTCTGTCATAGCAAGAAAATTCAAATGGTTGTTTAAAAAAAAAAAAAGCCGGGTAAAAGAATCTTGGTGAGAAGATATATTCACATATACCACCCCACAGATTACTTGATAATTATAATAGGGAAAAGATAATTGATAAATCTAGCAGATACTGCCTTAACCAAGTGATCCCAACTGAAGATTACCATGATGGAGTGTTCTGACATAGGGTACCTCCAGATACAATACACTGAGAAGGACACAACAACTTTGTGTAGTTATTGCCAAAATTGTTTTAACTGAATCTAAGCATGAAGAAATAATCAGACAAATCCATATTCTGCAAAATAACTGGCCTAGATTCTTCAAAAATGTTAATATCACAAAAGATTAAAAAGAGAAAAGCCTGGAAAACCACTCTAGATTGAAGGAGAAAATAGAGACATGACAACAGAATTTAATGTGTGATTCT